TACAAAATGGTAAAGCCACTTTGGAAGTTTTTTTACAAAACTAAACATAGTTTTACCACACAATCTAGCAGTCACACTCATAGGTATTTTCCCAAATAAGCTGAACATTTACATCTACATAAAAATCACACAAATAATTATAGCGAGTTTAGTCATAATTGCTAAAAATTAAATGCAACCAAGATGTCCTTTAATTGATGAATGGTTAAATAAGCTGTGATACATCCATACAATGGAATACTATTCTGTGATAAAAATCATCTATCAAGCCATAAAAAGACATGGAGGAAACTTAAATGCATATTATTCAATGAAAGAAGCCAGTCTAAAAAGGCTCATACTATCTGATTCTATCTAGATGACATAGTGGAAAAGACAAAACTATAGAGACAGTTAAAAGATCAGGAGTTGCCGGGGGAAGAAAGAGCAGAACGGATGTATAACTGGAGCATGAGGCGTTTTTAGGACAGGGAAACTATTCTGTATGAAATTTGCTGGTGAATACCTGCCACTATGTATTTGTCAATATTTGTTGAACTGTACAACACAAAGAGTGAACCTAAATGAAAACTGGTTTTAGTTAATCGTACTGAATTACATTAGTTCATCACATTAGTCAATTACACTAATGCAAGATGCTGATAATAAAGAACATCTCTTGAGGGGAGGTGTCAAGTGGGAGGGAGGGGGGGATATATGAGAACTCTGCACTAGCATTCAATTTTTCTGTAAAGTTGAACCTGCTCTAAGAAATAAACTTTATGAATTAAAAAAAAAGGAATTTGGGAGAAGGTTGTTTAAAAGAAACAAATTTGCTGCCTATAGTCATATTGCTACTAAACAAAAATAAAAATAAAAAATGGCTTATGTTCTACATTTTGTTTTGTTTATATTTCTACTCTGGTTCATTTCTCAGTTCAAAAATGTTCTCCAAAAAGATGTATTTCGGAACAGTTGTCAACTTATTAATAAAGGTGGCATTTCTGACACCAAGTGAGAATCCGTTTGTATTCCTACAGCAGAACGCGAAAAGGCTTGCGTTCCTTAAGGATTCCACAAACTACTTATTAAATCTTTACAGGGCTACTTCAAAAAACAGAAACAGGATTCAGGTAAAAAAAAAAACTTAAAAAAAAAACCATAAAGAAGGACAACCCCTAACTTATTCTACACATAAGCACAGCTTCTACTAAAGATGTTTGTTTGTTTTTTTATTCGGTGGCAGATCCCAAGCATTCTATAGAGAAACAAATCTATTCCCAAAGCCTACATAACAAGTATTGCCAAACAGAAGGTTAGATCTAAAGGTGACGTTGACCTCTTTATCATGAGGAGAGCTGTGGAGAACCTAAACATTCTTTCAGCTAGATACTTACAGACAACAGCGCAGGACTTGTTTGGGTTATAACTGTAGATGACATTCAGATACTGATTTTAAATACAGCATCTGAGAGTGCAACATGAGCTTAGCCCAAAGAGCAAATATTATTATTTGTTTTTTGGAGAGGGCCTTCTACTAAGAGACTGAGAGCAATTGAAAACTTGAATCTTTCTATGTGGTTATGAAAATATATAATATTTATTTTCCCCCAAAAGAAGATGTCTCCAGTAATCAAATTTCCCCAAGAGCCCAGTTTAGTCTAGAAAATGTATTCCCTATAATTATAATATGTAGAGTAAGAAGCAAAATTGCATGAAGATTTACATTACTAAACAAAAATATAGAAAGAGGCTTAATATATAATAGATTTAAATGTCAGTGTAATAGATTTAAATGTCAGTGTATACTTTTTCATCTACGTGAAATACTGCTGGTAATTTCATACAGGTACCAAAATAGAGGTGATATTCTTCATCATTATGATTTGCTTGAAACAGGAGGCTATTTCATAGTTGTAAACTTTCATAAAAATTATATGCTTCAAATGAGCAGAAGCTCCAAATACAGCCTAGGAGAAAGGGCTACGGTACTACGATTAAATTTATCCATGAACACCTTGCTCCAAAGGACTGCAGGAAATGCTCCCCTGGTAATAAATAATAAATTTTGAAAATTAAATTTAACATGAATTTTAAGAAAATGGATATAAGGAAGCTACTTTTAGGATTCTGTGGGCTTTTGTAGCCTGCCTTTGTCGGCACATTGAAGACAGTATCTCGTTACCACCGATGTCCGACACCACTTCCTCTTCCTCTTCTGCTGGAGCAGCTGAGAAGGTATCTCCTTCAAAAAGTCTTGGCTAAGTAACCCACTTGAAAACTCACTTTTATCCTACATTTTTACAATTTGTAGAGTTGTAATATGAATCACATTAGGTGTATCTGTAAATAATATGAAATCCGTCTTCCACATGAACTTTCTAATGAATTCTTGTATTTCATTGTATTTATACCCCATGAAACTTAGTTTTGAATCAGTTTGAGGTGTCATCAATTTCTGCATATACATGATTTAGATTGTAAGAAAATGTTTAAAATAATTATATGAATACATCAACAAAATTTATTAAAATGAAATGGTTCTAAACTTTGATCAGGCATTTAGAATTTTTGGAATCTAAACAAGCAAAACAAAACCCAAAATACACTGTTTATGTCCAACCATAAAAGAAATGATAGAATAAAGTATGCAAGCCATTAACACAGAAAAGTATATCATGATTAAAAAGAATGCCTTTGATCTAGCTAATTTTCCTAATTATATCACTTTCCAGGTGTGAGTCAATTAGCATCAAATAGCCTCATTCTCTTATCTGCAGAATAGAGACATTATTTGTCCTAAGAAAGCAAAATAGGAATAATAAGTGACTAAATCAGTACACATTAAACAAATGAATGCATAATTGTGTAATTTCATGCATTTTATACAATGTATATATCATTCTTAAATGAGTGTGCAATTTATACATTTAATGTATCCTCATTTTTAAGCATTTACTGTGTTCTTTGAAATACCCAGTTAGTAGTTCAATGCGAAAATCAACAACAGTAGAATATGTGTTATCACCTTGATCTCCTTTTCTTGACAGACTGCTTCTGTAGTATTGATACTGCATGAACCTACAGGAAGAGGTCATCAGTGCCTCACATTTCCTAGTGCTTAATGTGCATATAGAAGTTTGGTACAAGAGTTACTTGAACCCCAGCAGTTTAATTGGAATACTTTAAATTCCTGAGCAATGCTAATGTTTTTATGATTTTACACATACATATATATATATACACACACACACACACATACATGCATATATAAATATATAAACACACCAGTTAATATTAACAATAAATAAATATTCATAGGATGTGATCTGGACTAAGTTACAGATATAGGTATGGAAGCAAATACAGTTATACATATGTAGAGAGAGAATAGATAAACTGTAGATGTAAATTTGGGTATGTATGTGTGTGCAAGTGAACATGCCAAAATATCAAGATAACTTATCAGTAAATCAAAATTAAGTTTATTTTAGTTTATGTAGTATGAGAGAATACAACCTTGACAGATTCTTAGAAGAAATGGGCTACTATAGGATGTTATGATCCGGACTTAAGTGCTTTATGGATACTTTTCAAGGGAACAATCTGATTGGATTGGGGAATTCTAAGGATTGAGTTTAAAATAGCTCAAGGACTTAATAGTTTAGTTTACATAGTTTAAGATTGAGTGAAAAAACAAGGCAGGGGTCTTGAAGCAAGATTTATTAACTAAACTGTTGATATATTCGTCAGCTCTTTACCCAGCTATATTCTCAGATAAATGTTTAGGAATTTCCCAAAACAAAGTCATTTAATCGTTTATTGAGTTATCTCTCCTGGAAAAAAAATTTTCCTGTAACAAGTAAGTCATGTTGATGCAGTAGTCTCAGTTCTCAGTATGTATGTATATACATACACAGACTCCTTGAGTTACCCAAAAATTTCACAAATAGTAAGAGATAGAAATGAAATTTAGAGACAGCATTTTATAATACCCAATTGTCTGTTGCTAACATTAGGGAATCATATTTGCATTTCAAATTGTGTTCCTTTGGAATGGTGTGTTCTTTTCTTCACTTGCAAATAACTGTTATTATAGTCAATGTGTGAAGGATTAGAAACATAAAAAGGCCTATTATGCTGACAGAGGGACAAAAGTGCCAGGGCATTTATGACTGACTTTCACATCATTAAGTACGCAAAACAAAACATGGTTGTAGCAGGAGATTCCTGTAACAAATTCTTTGGTACACTGACAAAACCCTGCTGTCAAAAACCGAAGTGAGACTAGTTAAAAACAAGTTTAAAAAAAAAAGTTATATCTAATAAAGATTGGTCCTTATGTTTCTACAAGGGAAATCTACTTTCCAATGTGGCTTTCTATTGACCTGATGGCAGAAACCCAGGTGCAGCTGAATGTGAGTCTCATCTTTCCTTTATGTAGTTATCCTTATTCATGAATACATATATGTCTGCATCTCACTATCATTTACCTTAAGCTTCAAAACAAACAGATCGTGCTTGTTGTTATTATTGTCTCTGATAAAACATGTTACATAAAAATTCTGACTTTTCTGTGCATATTTTCATTTTAACCCTATTAATTCTCATTTACAACAAGACTTTTAACTTTTTTTATGGTAAAGGAATTTTTACTTATAAGGAAATGGGACATAATTCAGCAAGCATAGGCCATGTAAGTCACGCAGTAGGTCATTTTAGAAAAGGACTAGTGGGTATGGCCATACAAAAAGGCCAGCCCTGAGGAATGGCCCAGGTACATTTTCCTGAGTCCTGATTGAAGGAGCTGGAACCCTTTCATTCTGCATCGAGAGTCTAAATTGCACAGCTCTAGTATTGCCGGGCAGCTGCGTCTGAGGAGGTCTCTGCTCACTAAATGAAGCACGAAGAGAAACCTTAACCTGGACGGGGGATGGCTCCTGACTAAATGAGAAAGAATTCTTGAGCAGGTCATAGAGTTTAGGTAAGGAAGGAATTCATTAAAGCAAGAGCAGCAGGGAATGGCAGCTGCCATGCAGGTAGCAGAGAACAGGTAAGTGCCGAGGGAAACTTCTCAGCCTAGGGCAGATTCCCTCGCCAACTCCTGAAGCCAGGGTCACCTGGCATCCTGTGTCTGCTTGGATCAGCATGGCACGGGAACTAGCCCCTACCACTCCAGGATCTGGGGGAGCCACAGAGCTCAGGATGGAGTGGGATTATGTTCTGAGAACTTCCCAAAGAACGGAGATTTTCACGCAAACTTCTAAGAGCAGATCACATAGTTGCAGCTCTATCCAGGTCACCTAGGCAACGGAAACATGCAGGCCCAAATCTGCACTCTTAGCACCCTTTCCTACTTATTAGGAGTAAAGCGGAGACAGAATGAAGACTTGGAAATAAAATAAAATAGCAGAAACACAAACTGCAATAATTTGAACAGTGAGAAAGCTTTATTTGAAACTGCACACTTAAAGAAAGGAAAGTGCAGGCATCCTCAGAGAGGAGGTGCTGAAAGTTTGGGGATTCTGTCTTTTAAGTCTCTCAAGAATGGGGCAAAGGGCAGAGGGGGGTTTTTTTGGGCATAGGTCTGACTTGCTGTCTCAAGATGCTTATCTCTGGTTAGAGACACCAAGTTTCCTTTCCTTTATTATCAGTCCTCCAGCTAATTCTGCTAAATAAACCCAACACAAGGAATTTATGTATCCTATTCTTCTCCGAGATAGTGGTTACCCTCAAGCCATGGGGACATATCAGTTAAGACTGCTTGCCCTGCCTTAATGTAGGCTGTTAAATTATTGTCTGATTACCAGAGAATATGTTAGGAATCTTACTTATTAACTCTCTGCTTTTTAAAATGGAATCTTAGCCTTAAGTTGGGGTCCCTCCTGTTCTTACTACACTACTTATATCTTGGCATTTTTCATCATGGGCAGAAGTTAATCGTGATGCTTGCCCCATGTCCCTTTCCTCCAGCCTTCCTCTCTTTCTCTCTTAACTCAGCCATGAACCTTTAGGTATAAAGAAGACTAGATCTATAGATTACATTTTGGTTCATTTGATAACATTTTAAAAATGCAACAGTTTATAATATCATATGATTGTGTGTTTTCTATTTATAATTGTTTTGATGGTTTTAGTGAACAAATAAGGCAGTAACAAACAGATAAGTAGTCTTTATTAATAATATCACCATTGTCTAATCTAAGCAATGCTGCATCTAATAATCATTTCAAAAATCAGTTACAACTTATTTGCGGGATGACTATTGTAATATAGGACAAAAGTAAGATTTCTATTTCATGCAGAAGTATCACTTTATACTTCATTCTTAGAGATGAGTCATTAAAAATAGATCAAATTATTGTTCTGTGTAAGTCATTACTGAAAAGTGATCACCTCAAGGAGATCAGCCTGACAACAATAAAATACAGGCCAAACGTGTATCACATAAACCCCTAATCACATTGGGGTCTGTGAAGTCAGAGTGTAATTCCTCAAAGTAATTATTTTCCAGTCCTAATCTGAGATGGGATAATTGATATAATATAGCCAATCAATACGTATTTATTTCTACTATTTTTGATCACGGATTTTTTTCAGACAATTCAGATTGCTGTTTAGCTCAGCAGTGTACATCTTTGCATATCAAATGTAAAGCCAAATATTTAGATAATTTGAAAGCTATAAACTTGAATTTTACCTTTTAAAAACTCAGAAATAATCTCTAAGTATATTCTCATAAATATCTCTTTCTGCTTCCTTTTGCTTCTTAATTTCAATTTTTCCCGTGTTCAGGCCATACCAGCTCCTAAGGCCTCAGCGCGAGCAAGCATCCCTTCTCAGTTCATTTCCGCCCCAACCCCACCGCCACCACCTCACACTTGCCAAACAGAATGCTAGAGTTTCTTGAGACATTAAGAAAATAGACAGTCTTAGTTGCCCTAATACCCTTCTTTCTTTCTTTACCAAGTTCAATAAATATTAGCCCCATGTTCATCACCTCCACTTATCTTACATTTCTCTCTCAAATCTCAGAAATCTATCTACAGAGATACATTACCCTGGAATTGTTCTTTCTAAGGTTCATCAGTTATTTCCTGGTGCCAAGTTCACTGAACCTTTTCCTTGGTTGACTTCTTTTTGACTTTAACAAATACCTTTTTGATAAAATTTAGACCACTCAGTCTCACCAAAGATAATCTCATCACGTGCATGAAATCTGTTTTACCTCTTCAAATATTTTTCATGAAATAAGAGACCTAAGAATTGATTATCAATCCTCCTTCCCTTGTTCAGTCAAAAATCTCTCTCAAGTCTGCATTCTTATCTCTCTTCATACTGTCTTATTGTCACCGTTCAAATTTCAGCCCATCAAAATGTCTAAATTTCCACCTTTTCCTATGGTCTCCAATGTCACCACTTTCTCCTTTCTTTAGTACCTGCAAATCCTTTACTCATACCTACACTTGATCCCTATTTTAACAGATCATTATTTCCCTGATTACCCTTAAGATAAAATCCAAATTGCTTAATACATGTATGTCAACGAACCTCTCCTCTCACTCCACAGTAGGTGGGCTATCTTCCAGGCACAGAAGGTCATTGCCTTTTCCCAAATGGATGTCAATTTGTCAGGGTTTTCTGCTTTTATACATTCTCCATTGGAAATCCTTCCCCTTTTGACTAACTATTCTTTATTATTAGGACGCAGGAGGAAAAAAAAAAGGAATTGCCGTATGTAAAAACCCATCTCTGATCTACAGTGCTATATTGGTACTCATAGCTCCCAGAGCACAAACACAACCAATATTATAGCACTTATGCAATGTTGTGACTTTTAGTATTATCATCTCTGTTGTAGAATTTTTGAGGGACATGGAATGCATCTTATTCTTTGTGCTCACTCTGCCTAGTACCTTTAATCTTTAACATTTATGGAAAAAAATATATTTTACTGTGTAGTAAAGAAAAAATTATCAAATTAATCACAGATTGATGCATGAATAATAAAACCATACTATAATTATCACACAGTATGGTAAAAGTGATTTATTATTGATAAATGTTTAATCTTTGGGGAGGAATTTTGAGGCCCCAAACATTGATGGTAGGACATGGTTCAACTTTTAAAGAGGGCATATTCTTCAGTAAATTCCTTAGATAAGGCCAAGGGGGATAATAGAAAAGGAAGGAATTCCCAGAGGGAGAAGCCAAGAGCAAATGGAGAATAATGGCCTGGAGAGCTAGAACAGATGCAGAATTACATCCTAAACAAGGAACATTTCCTGTGTCCGGGGCAGAGGCACAACACAACATTTATCCAGCAGGAATTGGAAATTATTACTGTGGATCTCCCATTCTTCCACTTCTAAGTGGTAGTATCTTGTTCAAACTCTGCTAGACTGTAGATGTGGTTCAATACGTAGTGACTAATAAGTGCTATAATACATTGTGACTAAAGATTTTGCAACATATTTTAATTTGTATTATATTTATATGCATATATATATTGGATTATAGATACACATGTGTGTCTGTGTGTGTATATATATATATGTATATATATGACCCAATTCTGATTCTTCTGTTACATTTTTGGGCAAAATATTGGGAAAATAATTATATAAAAATTGTCCCGCCTCGCTGCATTTGTACTTAGAGTGACCCTCTGCTTGCCATGTCCTTCTGGCAAATATCCACCTTATTGATTCCCTTAGTGCCTTCTAATTTGTGCTCAAATGCCACATAATCAGAGAAGTTTTCCTCACCACTTGTATAAATTAGCAAGACACACCAGCCCCACTCCACTTTCTATCCTGTCATCCTACTTTGTTTGGAATGAAACCCTTACCACCATCTGATATTTGTGTTATTTTTCTATTCCTGCCTTCACTTTCTTATAGTCACTATTTCCTCTGTACCTAGAAGAGTGCTTGGCTCATGGTAGGGACTTGATATTGAATAAATAATTGAATGATTCATAAAACATTAATCTCTCAATAAACTTCCCCTTCCATTCCTTACATAGTAATCAAACTGATCTTAGAAAAATATAAAACATCATACTATATCACTTAAAACTACATTTAGAATAAATCTAAACTACCTAATATGAATTACATGATTTGGTCAGAGTTCTATGATCTGACCTCTGTCTACAGCTCCCCATGCAGACAGCAAGGGGAGGACTTTAAGATCCCTGTATTCTCTGCCTGCCTTCTCAAAGATGTCCCAAATAAATTTGAAGTCAAACTAAAAACAGTGTGCTTGTAAGGCTCAAGATAATCCCCCAACCCCTTCTCCCAAACAGATTTATTTTCTGGCCCTTTAAATGTGGAAAGTTTTACGTCCTCTATTCATTATCTCTTAACAATAATGGCCTCAATTTTATTTATTCAAACTTTAAACTTTGATATCTCAGGGCTTTTGCATTTCTGAAACATGCTCATGCCAGATTTTCACATAGTATGTTTGTTATCATTTGAGTCTCAAATACTACCTTCTCAGAGAGGTCTCAGCTTACATGTCACATCCTCTGGGTGGGTCTCTCCTAAAATATCCCACACACACCTTCACATAGACACACACACATTCCTCCATCTCCAGGCACTTTGCTCACCATTGTACTTGTCAAAATCTGAAATTCATTTTCATCTGTTTTCTGGGTTTTGTTTTCTCCTCCACTCCAAGGAATAAGCTCCATCAGAGCAGGGAACTGTTCTATTTGATTCACCACTGGGTTTTCAGGGCCTGAAACAATATCTGACACATGCAAGGCATTTAATGATCACTAAAAGAACAAAGGAACCTTACATTCAGCCTGAATTTGAACACATTAAGACATTTATCTCAATCCTCTAGGTGGATACCGTTTAGGTGTGCAAGACCTCTATTCTAGTACTAGTATTCTGCAAAGCCTCTGGACCTCAATCTTGAATTTGAACTAATTTATGGTAACCCTTTGGCTTCAAAATTTCTACAATTCTGTAGCAAATGGAATATCAAGTGTCATTCCCATTATATATATTTAAAGTCTTAGCTATGCTGTAGTGT